AAAAGGTTATCAGAGAGAAGCTAAACCAAAAGTGTGTTTCATGAGCCTGGCTCACACACACACACACACACACACACACACACACACACGCACACACACACACACACACACACACACACACACACACACACACACGCACACACACACGTGAGTAGATCATTAGGGTGGACCTCTCTGCTGCTCTGGGAAGAGAGACGGAGACAAAACATGTCCTCCTCCAGCTCTAAGGCTGGGTTCATAATGAGTGACGTGTTCTCTAACGATACAGCTGGTGTTAAATGTCGAAAAGCTTCCACTTCGACCCTAAAGCTTCTGCAGGTGTCGGAGTGTCTGGATACAAAGATTGTACAGTTAACTATCTAATGGGTCGGATGTTTTTGAACTAGATGTTTCCTGCTGTCTACACATACAGTATACATCCCCTCTTCTTTTCTTGCATTTTAGTTCAAACTCTACAAACCAACCGTAAGACTCTGATATATCCTGCTTCGAATTTAAGTGTAATTGATCTTTAATTATGTCTTTCTTCCTTTTTCAGTCCTCTGCGCCAAAAACCTGGTGAAGAAGGACTTCTTCCGTAAGTATCTGCCAACATCGGCTCCTCGTACTGAAGCTGGTCGAGGCTGGGGGTGTTTGATGCACGCAAACTAAAAACCTCTTGAGATTGAGAACATGGACTTTGGGTTGATGAAGTTTAGCTGCTTCGAAGCCTTCAAAGACAACAACTAGGATATTCTCATTTAGCCAATCAAACAGATAGGGAACATTTACTTACTACATATCAGTGTTGTAGCCAAGTCACCAATTCACGAGTCCAAGTCCCTCTCGAGTCACCACTCTTCGAGTCCGAGTCACCTAAGGAGAGTCATAGTCGAGTCCGAGTCATCATTACCTGTGTTCGAGTCTGAGTCCAAGTCCGAGTCACCTAGGGAGAGTCATAGTCGAGTCCGAGTCATCATTACCTGTGTCCGAGTCCAAGTCCGAGTCACCCAAGGAGTGTTCAAGTCGAGTCCGAGTCCAAGTCATCGTGCGCGAGAATTCACTAGTCCAAGTCCGAGTCGGGTCCGAGTCATCATTACCTGTGTCCGAGTCCAAGTCCGAGTCGGGTCCGAGTCATCATTACCTGTGTTCGAGTCCGAGTCCAAGTCCGAGTCACCTAGGGAGAGTCATAGTCGAGTCTGAGTCATCATTACCTGTGTCTGAGTCCAAGTCCGAGTCACCTAGGGAGAGTCATAGTCGAGTCCGAGTCATCATTACCTGTGTTCGAGTCCAAGTCCGAGTCACCCAAGGAGTGTTCAAGTCGAGTCCGAGTCATCATGCGCGAGAATTCACGAGTCAAAGTCCGAGTCGCGTCAATCAGTGCGCGAGTCCGAGTCGAGTCACAAGTCCCGAAAATCGGCACTCGAGTCCGAGTCCAGGACTCAAGTACTCCATCTCTGCCTTATACTACAGTATATACTGTAGGTACCTAGTAATGTTCTTTTACACTTATTTTACTATTTTGTTTTATATATCATTTGTAAGTAATGAGCTGCAGCTTTTGCTTAATAAGCTTACCAGGCCATAAACAGACCTGCAACCATTCGAGTTGCAGGTCTGTTTATGGCCTAAAACATGTTTTGTGAGGTCACAGTGACCTTGTCCTTTTGTCTTCTACATATTTATTAGGTCATCCTCGAGTAAGTGGATGTTTTCTGCTAATCTGAAAAAAATTCCCCCAAGGAATTTCTGAGATATCACGTTTAATAAGCAAAAAACTGAAGGACAGACAAGATAACTACATCTGTCTAGAGTCTAGATTCTAGACGATAGTCATTCTTTAAATGTTTGTCTACAGCTGCATTCACGGTCATGTGCTACAACGTTCTGTGCGACAAGTACGCCACCCGACAGCTGTACGGCTACTGTCCCTCCTGGGCCCTCAACTGGGAGTACCGGAAGAAAGGCATCATGGAGGAAATCACCAGCTGCGACGCTGACATCATCAGCCTGCAGGTGAATGAAGCAGACGTTGCTTCAATGATTTTCCAGAGAAAAAGGAACAAATCAGATGATAATCTGTTTTGTTTTGTGTTCAAAAAAGCTAAACTATGTGTCTTAGAAGAGCATGTTGAATGAGTTTGTTATTATTTTTCATTTCTATGTATTCGTTCATTAGGTACCTGAGTAAGAGTTGGTCTGAGCTGCAACTATTGTATTATTTGATTTAAAAGAAGTATGAAAAAATATATGTATATGGAGAGATGCATTTTATTTACGCAAAGTGTGGCTGTGGCTGCGGGGGCTTCCATTAAATATGCAGGAATGTTATCATAAACATAAGTATTGTACACATTACCACTAGAGGGGGTCAGGGGTTCACCAAACTCATACGAGTTAATGTTTTGGAATTATCTGACCAAAATTCTTAAAAATGAGAACCAAAAATCTGGACCTGCTGATGATGATGCTTCAGGAAAACACAAAAGGATCCCCAAAAGAATAAAGATTTATCAGTGACCTTGGATGTCTGGATAAAATTGGATTGCGATTAATCTAGTAGTTGTTATATTTTAAAATGAAGGACCACACAACTTTTTAAAGTATAAATTCCTGCAAACTATTCAACTTGTTTTTTTTAATCAATAGATAAAGAGGTCAACTCTAGTGATTAACTTTCCTTGAAACTATATTTGTTATAATCATTTCCACTGGTGGACATTTGTGAATATCAGAGATGATGCATTTCAGAAAATCAGAACAACATCATTCAATATATTATACAACTTCACTTTACAATAATTGATGCTATTTTGGTGCCAGATGTATTTGAAACCACATTATTTAGCTATTTAAAAATGCAATTCGTAAATGCAAGGTTCCCTTAAACTAATACTACTATTGTTATAAAAAATAAAATAAAAAAACGACTTATTGAATGACGGAAACATGTTTTTTTTTTATGTTGAATATTCACGAGAAAAAGCTTGAGTTTACAAGTAGAATTAAAAACAAATTCAATAATCCTAAAACCATTTTGGTTCATTTGTGAAAAGGAAAATATGCCCCCCCCCTCCTGACTCCAGGCCGTTTATATTTGGCTAGTGCTCACTCCTCTACACATGCGTTTCATTGACTCTTTTAGGTGACATTTCTTGCCCTGTGTGTCTGCAGGAGGTGGAGACAGAGCAGTACTACACCATGTTCCTGGAAACACTAAAGGAGCGCGGCTATGATGGATACTTCTGCCCAAAGTCTCGTGCCAAACTGGTTTCTGAACAGGAGCGGAAACACGTGGACGGCTGCGCTGTGTTCTATAAGACCGAGAAGTGAGTTCACAGAATATGCTTTATTCAATATATGTATATAAATGGGTAGATTTTGATATTCAAGATTTCTTTCTGCGTTAAATCCATTTTGAAATGACTCACCACATTTTTGGTCTGACTGGATACAGTCAGTTGTGGGAGAGGACTACTCAATTGTATGAATGGACTTTGGTTCTTGAAGTTAGATGAAAAGATACTACTGAGCAACTGTTCATGAGGTATAAAAGAAATCAGCAGCCATCCGTTAAAGCAGTGGTTCTCAAAGTGGGGGGCGCGCCCCCCCAGGGGGGCGCAGAGGCATGACAGGGGGGGCGCGAGAGACCAGGAGGAAAAATGGTTCTAAAAAAAAAAAAACATAAAAAAAAAAAAAAAAATGTTTTAAAAATTATTGATTCGAAAATAATATTATACAGTACTATTACGTCTGGGTCTCTGTGTTTCATTAAAGTTTGGCTCTGTGTGTGTGTGTGGAACGAGCCATTTTGTGTGCGTGCGCGAGTGAGAGCGCACCGGTCCCGGAGATCGTTGTTGTTAGCTTCTGGTGCTAGCGAGCTACGCTAACGGATATAAGGAGTTTTTTCAACAACAAAGTGGAGGAGAGTCCTCTCCTGTCAGAATGAGAGACTCAGTGAGCTAAAGGACTCTCAGTGTTATCTCAGTGGGTCTCAAACGTTTTGGTCACCATTAATGTAAACAATTATTTCCGAGGCCCCACGTTTATATGATCATTATAGTTATAAAAAAATAAGAGAATAAATTAAAAACAGGTATGAAATACTATATGACATTAAAAAAAGAATAACGTTAAAAAGGGAGTGA